AATCTAGTACTTCTTGATCCAAAAACAATTCCAAAGACAATAATCTAACAACAAATATATTTTTTTCAAACAACCTCCCTACCATTACACAACATCTTAACAACTTTATTAAGTTAATCAAAACAAATACAATCAACAAGAACCTTAAAGAAAAAATAATATATCAGAATGATGCATTGCAATTCACTATGGAAGAAACCATAACTATAAAAATACACAATATAAGAGAAATAAATACAATATTGGATCAACAATATTTATATGACAAAATACAAAAACTAGATATAGGAATCATGGGTATCAATAAAACAAAACTAAGGAGTGAAGCAGCAGAATGTGTCCTTAAGTTTCAAAAGATATATAAATTTATTTATAGTTGTAATGATATCAAACATAGAGAATCAGGTATGGGTCTCCTTATAAATAAGATATCTAAAAAAAAATTGGAGTCAATTAAAAAAATAGAAGACTATATTATAGGCACAAACATTTTTTCAAAAAAATGTAAACTATATATATATCAAATCTACTTATCATCTGAAAAGATAAAAAGTAGATAACTTCAACAAATATTGTAAAAAAGAATCCTAAATAAACAACAACAAAAATTCAAGATCATTATTATGGAAGATTTTAATGCAGTAGTAAATCAATAACAGATCAACTCTTATTTGGATAAAAGATAACACAGTACAAAAAAGTTGAAATTAATATCTTCAACTTCTTAAAAGATTGGAACTTAATTGATATCTACAATATATGGGAACAAAACAAGAGTACATATCAAATAAATAGTTTCTTTACTCTATTTCTTAGGAATTGTGCCTTCTTTAATAATTTTATTGAAAATTTCTTTTAATTCTTTTATGTATTCTTTTTTAAATGCTTATATACATAATAAGGAATTTGGTTTCTACTAGGTACTGACTTGTTGTCATGACTTCTAATTGTTGCAATCAACTTTTTTATTATGAATTCTTGAAATACACTTGAGTACCAGCTTGTTTTGATTATGGGACTGAATTGTACTCATATTGTCATTGTGAGTGATACTCTAATAGTAATATATTTCCAAGTAAAGTCTAATTAAAGAAGTGTTACCTAACTATTTTTTTGATTTTGTCTAGTTCTGTAATGATTTGGAAATTTTTTCTTTTTTAATATTCTTGTTTAGATAGATATAACATATGGATTTGTTTAAAATACTATTGATTATAGCTTTTTTGTTACTCTCTAAAAAGACTTAATAACTTATTGTTCTTTGAATTATGGCTCTAGATTCTTTTTTCTTTGTGATATATTTTACAATAGTTCTATATATATGGATATATGACTTCAGTATCTCAATTCACTTTGAATAGTATTTATTTTTTGAGTAGTTTTTGGCTAGCTGTAACTCTGCTATAAGTATAGGAAAGTAGTTTTGAATATATATTATTATATTGCTCTTTAGTCATATATTGTTATCTTTATTTATATTGTCAACCTATCCAATTCATCTCTTATGAATCAGATAGAGATAGAGAACTATTGCAAGGAAACACCAAGTTAGACTTTTAACATAATATGCAAAAGTTTTTAATTTGGACAATAATAAATAAAGAGGTTTATTATTGGTGATTTAGGTAGGATAGACAGAATAATAATTTTAGGTTAAAGATAATTTTATTGTTGAATAAATCCTGAGGAGTCTTCAGAAGGAGAATTTTTTCCTTTAAATACATAATTGAGTTATATAATATTTGAGAATATAAACTAAAATAAATAATAGTAATAATTATACTATTAGTTTTACTGGACTATTAAGCTATATTATTTTGAACAGAACTCAAGTATCCTTAAAAAATAATAGTTACATATGATAAGCTAGGATTATAGAATATTCTAGAGTACTTTATACTAAGTTTGCTAATAGCAAAATTGACTATTAATGTTCTAGAAGTATTTTAGAAGATCTTTACTTTCAGGTGACTAAAAGGATTATAATATGTTGATCTGAGATACTGGGATCATCCTGGGTACTAAGAAGATTATATGGCGAAATTTTATAGTTCAATACTATTTAATAATTTTCTTAGGGTTGTCAAAAAAAATTATAGTTAAAGAAATAAGATGTCAGATTTATTTTCTATTCTTTGAAGATACTTTTTTCTCTGTAAATGCTTCTTTGGGATATATTTTATTGCTATTGTAGAAGAAAGGAGCTGAGATAGTTCTATTTTTGATTTATTAAATCTGGGTTAATGAATACTTTATTTAGTTTTGTTTCTACCATTTGTATAAATTTTTTTATTAATTGTCTTTTATTAGAGTTCAGTTGTATCAATAGTTTGAATTGTAAATAGATATAAATTTTGAAATGTTTAGTTTCCATACTTTTAATTTTATAATTGTTAGTTTATAATTATTTTTGATAAGTAAGTCAAGTATATCATTGATGCTTGCTTTGTATAACCACCAAGTTGTTTTACAGTTAATTCAGATCTGATAAAGTCTATTATTGTTTTCTTATCTATATTAAGTATATTTTCTCTGTATAAAATTATGTGTATTGTATATATCTTTAAAACTATTATATATGAGAACTTCAATTTGCTTTCTAGATAAATTGCAGTTTATTATTTATTTTTTGTTACTGGACTTGCTTATATTGAAGTTAGATATACTATTTATATTTCCTATTACTAGGATATGCCAATTCTATAATATTGCTTCATTGATTTATTGTTTGAATATTTGTAATCTGAGCTTCTTCTTTTGATATGTCTTATGCTAAAAAGTAAAACCAATTATTCTAAGTTTCTTTTATTGGAAAAACCAAATCTGTAGCTATTAGTCTTCTATTAAAAGTTTTGTAACTATAAATATGTATATAATATCTTTTTTATTATTATATTTAAGCCATTTTCAAAAGTCTGGGCTTCTTTATAGAACTAAATTATATAGATTCTAGCTATCTCAATATTTTGAGTATTAATGTGATCCATTGGTTTCAGTTGTTATAATAATATTTTATTGTTTCTTAATATACATATTGAATCAAATATTTTTTTTGTATGTTTACTGATCCTTTAATATTAATAGTTGTAAGCTTCTATATTGATTAGTATATATTGGTTGTATTTATTATAAATTGATTAATATTCATATTATTGATACTGTTTGTATCATTGTTATCAAATAGTGAAGTTGTATTTATTATCTAAAATATTTGAAGTAAGAGAATCTGTTGTTGAGTTTTATTTGGTAATTGTTGCTAAGATATAATTAATATATTGTACTTTGAAAGCTTCATATTAATTATTTATATAGTGATTGTTTTCTTTGGGATGAGTTTGAAATTATATTTAATGCTCTGTTAATATTTTTGTCCATTCTACTTATCAATATATGGATTTGTTGTTGTTATTGTATTTGGAGATTGATTGGTTCACTTTGCTAGGGTTTGTTGATTGTTTTCTATTGTAGTAAGTGTATATATTGTCTTCTGTAAACTTTAGATTATAGATCTCCATTTACTTTTTCTTTTCTTTTCAAAATTATTATAAAAAAATTTTTTTTTTAAAAAAAAAGATCTGTAGAAAAAAAATTTTTTAAAAAATTTATTAGTATATTATTATTAATTACTATATTATAATATTAATTATTATATCAAAATTATGATTTATTATTTTAAATTTTTTATTTTATTTTATTATTTTAAATTTTTTAAAGAAATATTTTATACCAAAAAATAAATAAAAATTTTTTAAAGAAATTAAATATATAAATTTTTGTTAATTATAAATTTATTAATTTAAAGCAATTTTAAAATTAAATAGTATTTTATTTAAATAAATATTTAATTATAAATTAATAAAATCATAAAATTTAATTGTAGTTATTATATATAAATAAAATATATTTATTATTACAAATTAATTTTATTTATTTATTTATCTATTTTACCGATACAATAAAAACTATAACTTTATAATTCTAATTAATAAAATTTTCAATCTCATTTGAATTAAAGTAATAATCAATAATATTCTTTTATATGTTTAAAAATTTTTTTATTACTAATACAACTTTAACAGTTAAACTCTCTCAAATAGAAGTTATACAGTAAGTACTTTCTCATATGATATCATGTATAGTAATTTTATTATCATTTACGTATTGTTTTACGAGCCAATCAAAGATACTAAATTATCTGGGCATGACAGCCTGTAAATCCCAATCTTATTTAATCTAGTCATATTTATTTTTTTACTTTAAACACACTAACCATTTTTGGGATTATTAACTTATTAGTAATGTTATCTGGCACCGCAGACATCATGGTATTTGAAATTTTTAATAATCTGATTCTACAAAATATTTTTTTAATGAATTTTCAGATCTTTTGCGTTATTTTAGGTGATGCCATTGAGGATTCATTCCCGGTTGATGTTAGTAATGACATGTCCATTGGGCATCTCAAGAAACTCATCAAAAAGAAGAAGGAAAATACCTTTGTCAATGTTGACGCCAATGTTCTGAAGCTATGGAGTGTGAACATTTCTACCGAAGGTAAAGACCTGGAAACCAAAATATACGCCGAAAATATTAAAGAACAATACCAAGGCATAATGTTATCTCCATTTCAAACTATTGGCGAATATTTTCACGAATCCTCTAGTAACATCCGGATCATCGTACAACCGCCTGTCACCACTAGTAAGTGTCACAATGTTTTCTCACAAAAAATATCATTTTCTTATGTCTAATTTTTTTTTATTTGATAAGGAAAAAAGAAATTTGTATATTCGGATGATGAAAATGAGGTTCCAGACAAGAAAAAATGTGGGTAGATACTTTATATTGCTCATGGCATTGGCTAGTAATTATCTTATTTAAAGTTTTCATTTTTTTTAGCAAAAACCTTGGCTTCTCTCCTTACTTTGTCAACATTGCGATCTCTTAACGTGAATATTCCTTCACATAAATTTTACGACCGTGATCAAGCTCTAAATTCAATGTTAGAAATCGCTTATAATAACTATAAGGGTCGCAGTAGTCGTGACCACAAGGATCATCGATTTCTATTAATTCCTGGAGGAGTGGGAATAGGAAAGACACGCATGGGATGGGAATCGCAGCATTTGCTCTCTAGTATAAAATCAAAAGATTACGACAATGATGATTTTAAGGAAGCTCTTAAAGACCCCTGCTACATATTTGTTGACTTGAATGATAGATTAAGATATACTTCTAGTTTTGATAACGAGGTAGAATCAAGTGTGCGAATAGGGGCACGTGTTGCGATAGCTTCAGGATTAGTATCGGAGGAACTACCTACTTTGATTAATGAAAACATCCAGCTCTTCAACCTTTCTGACGTGATTTATGAGATCGTTAAACGTCGTATCATAATGAAACAGCGTTCAATTGATGCCATCATTATTCACCTTGACGAGTATCAAATTTATATTAGTAATACTCAAAAAGGAAAAAATATGACATGGACGCAAGCTTGCGATTTCTTTAAATTAATGCTAAGAGAAATTGGTAGTGTCATGCGTGGTAGCATGATGACGGGAACAGAAAATGAACTTCTTTTTCACGACCTTAGAGGGAAATACTTTATTATTCCGATCTGTACGGGGACTTCTGCCATTGACATTCATT